TAAAGAGATTACATAAAGTATCAGTCTTATTAATCTTCTTAATACATCCTTCCATCTATATCTGTACCAAAATTATTAATTTTATTTTTTAAAATATTGTAGTATTATGCAATATAACTTTTCTATTAAAATAATTACATTTATTTTTAAATGGGAATAAGGAAAGGAACTATTCTAAGAATGGTAATCATTTATTAAGTACTTATTCTGTGCCAAGACCTATGTGGGGGTTTTATGTAATCTAATTATATCAATGTGTAGAAAACATTTTATTATACCTTAAAACTCTTTAATACACAGCTTCAATTAAATACAAAGTTGGTTAAATAAAGTTTAAAGGTTAAGCAACTTTCCCAAGGTCAGGCATCTAAATGGCATTTAAACCATGACTCCAAAGCCAATATTCTTCTACAATGCATTCCTAGAAAGTATTTAAGATGTAACAGATATATTAATATAATTAATATACCAGATAATTCATATGATGAGTGAATAGTCTCAGCAGCACTGTTGGCAACTGCATGTAGTTGGGTCACAGAGAGAAATGTCATTAAAACAAGTAAATTCTAAGTATTCTGTCAGTCATAATACCTTTGTCCCCCCAAATCCTTTGCAGTTGATCTTATGTATTTTAGGAAAAAAGGACATACACACTTAATCAAACTTTCAGTCACTCCTAGTTCTATTATTTCCAACTTTATGCATTTGCATAATTCTGACTTTTTTCCTATTGTTGAGATCTCACTTAGGTTACAGTATCCATCAGTAGAATCTAGAATCATTATATCATTAATCCTATTTAAGTACATTTTTAGTGCAACTGAATCAAAGTTACTTGTGGACTTCTATCAGGGTTTTCTCCCTTTTTAAATACTATATGTAATATTTTCTTGGTCAAATATTCAGTAGTCTGTGATATGAAATTTGAAAGTGCAAGAAAACCTAGATGAAGAAGACAAATAACAATTGGTGAAAACAGAGCAGCCAGAGGAAGCAACAATGCTACTAAATATCAAGTAGAATAAAAACCCCTTAGCTCCCCAAATTGGACTCACGGTAGGAAGATAAACAATTTAATTGATCTAAAGCAACACTTCATGATCGGAAAGGAAAGATACATCAAAATTCTGTATAAGCCCTGTACATCATACTAGTATGCATCAATATGTTCATATACACAAATTATTTGACTCTTATGAAGCAGTTTGTTTCTATTAATTGATTATGAATATCAATAGACTGCTTCTTAAAAAGGGTGGCAAGAACATATAAATTGCATAATTTCCTATTTTTTTTACAACACTAAGAAAAATTGAAATATGAAGCAATGGAATAATACAGAATATAGCAAGTTTTACAAAATATAAATGCTTAAATAGTGTTTTAAGTTTTTTGCTTTCCAAATGTTTTTGTGTTTATTTCCATGTTATTCCCTCAATAGTCCTATGAGGTCAATTTTTCTCATTCTTCTTGCTCTCTTCATTCAATCATTTATTCAGTCAGTCACTCAGTTTTATTCATTTATTAATACATCCACCATTAACAAATGTTTAATAAACTTTATGCCTCAGGCATTGTACTTGGCATACTTTAGTAAACAGAACAGACAAATTCCTGGCCATTATAGAGCTTAAAATATATAATGAAAGAAAGCAAATAAATATATAATTACAAATTGTCAAAAAAAATTATAAAGGAAAATAATAAATAATTAGGAGTGTGGGGGGGAGGAAGAGAGAGCTCTCTCTGCAAGAATCTGTGAATAGAGAAGAAATCTTCTGAAAAGGTAACATCATTTAGGTTGAAATATAAAGACAAAAGGAGCCAGTGGTTCAATGTATGGGGAAGAATGTTCCAGGCATAGGAAACAGTATTGGCAAAGATCCTTAAGCAGGAACCTTTTAAGAACCATAAGAGAACCAAGTAGCTAGAGCCAATGGTGAGGAAAAGATTATCACGCCAAGAACTAGAGGAGACAGGTACTTGAAGAAACTATGCTAAAGGTGTTGAAAATGCATTCTTTGTGTAGCGGAAAATGATTAGAAGGTTTTAAGTAAGGAAGGAGGGTGTGGTGTTTAAATTTGTGTTTTCCAGATTACTCGGGCTCACATGTTGATATGTGAATAGTGTATTGTTATGGGGAGAATATGAAAATAAGAAGATCTAGTGTTGATGATCTAGGTAAGGGCTTATGTTGGCTTGAATCTACTATTTTCAGTAAAGATGAAGACAAATGAATTTGAGACAAGAATGGTGATAGACTGAATGTAAGGGGTAGGAAAAAGAGAAACATTAGAGGAAAGACCCAGTTTATGGCTTAAAAATTTATGTAAAGTCTGAGATGAAGAGATCTGAGCAATGAACAGATCTTGTAGAAAGTGACTGTCATGAAAGAAACCAATGCTGGGTTTTGTTAGCCTTTTGATTTTCATTTTTGAACTTCTGCTGATCATCTTCCATAGGCCAGGCCCCGGGCTGGCCTCAGAGAAAAGAAAGCTAAGTAAGATTCAGCCACTTTTCATAAGAAATCAGACTAATGAAAAATAGAATCATATAAACATTCAAATGTTCTCCCATGAGATTCATGCTGCAATAATCTGGTAGGGCTCATCAGAGGGACTAGAATTCAAGAAAGGCTTCAAAGAGAGAACACTTAGATTCAGTATTTATGAATACAAAGAAATTCCTCTCTTAATTGAATACTGAGGTGATATCCATCCCTATATTTTTAAATCTAGAATCATACATAAAACAAATATTTATGTCTTTGGTTGAGCTCACAATATGAGACGTTCCATGTCTGACACATGCTTAACAAGTTCCTTTAGGTTTGTTAAAGAAAAATAAAAGTAGAGGTCACAGATTAGAATATTCCAAGACCAACTGCCCATAGCTACAAGATCAAAACTTAAGTCATCCTGATTTCTCCTTAATGTTAAATCTAATCATAAACAAAACACAAAACATAAGCTTTACATCCTATCATCATGATCTAGTAACATTAAAGTAATCTGCTATAGACAAATCAGTTAAAACAGCTCTGATTGCCAAAAAAAAAAAAAGGTTAAAATCCTTTCTCTAGTATGTTTTATAGGCTAAGTTATAACTGCTATTGTGAACAGAGTTTCTTACCAATTGAGGGGGTAAAGTCTCCAAGTTTATGAAATATATTCTTTTTATGTGTACAATAAACATCTATACTTTAAAAAATTGACCTGATTTTATTTTTAACAAGTTCAATAAATCCTTAGTATTTCCTTTAATAGACACAATATTCTCTCAAATATTATAGAACCATGTATCTCTGTCCTTGAGTTGCCCTATTCTGTTGCAGAGATTAAACATTCAGGTATTAAAGTCTGCAAATCATGCCAATATGAGACAATCCAGTGGGTATGTATGATGAGTTGTAATCTTGCCTCTGTATAAGAGCGAAGGAATTCAAAATAGACACCATGCTATGGAGTGGTCTGGCCATGAAGCACTTCCCTTAAGTAAAAAAACATTCACTTGTACTTCAGAGAAATTCTAAGCAGACTCATTTCTTTTCTCTAGTCATCTCATCTTCCTATTTTCTATATTTCCAATATCTGGCCTGCTCCTCTCCCTACCTCTGTTCTTGCTCTCAGCAGTTGACCTCCCTCACTTCATATTTCACAGAGTAAATAATAGTCGTTCCACTGGGTCTCTCTCAATTTCCCACCATAAATATCTAGGTGTACTGTTATCTTCATATATGAACACTTACGTATTAGAAACTGACTATAACACAATCTTTGGATCTCATCCATTTTCATCTTCTCAGGAAACACTTATTACTGATTTGACCTTCTCTTTTATATATTTAACTTCTTCTTCTCAACAATACCTCTGATCAGCATTTTTCAATGAAGAATAAGCTTTTATTAGTCTAAAACACATATGATAAACATCTATTTGTACTTCAACCATGACTGCATTATTGAAACCACTCTACTTTGTTGATCTATTGTGCACTTCTTAGTCCTTAACTCAATCGATTTCTTAGCCTCATCAGCTTTTAAATATGCTCATCTTTCACTCTGAAAACAAAACAAAATTCTTCCTTGACATAGGTTTGGGTCCCCCACCCCTAGTAGGGGGAATCAAACCATGTGCCTTCACTAGGCAAGCACTCTACCACTAATCCTAACATAGCATTGCTAATCAGTTAAACTCCTATCCCTCTTCACAAGCTACCTTAATATATCTAGTTCTCTTAAACACTCTTCAAACTTAACTTGCCTAGAACAGATTTGATGGTACTCCTACTATATCTGAAAAATGAAACTTTTTCAGAATACCAGAATTCAATTAATTACACATCTACTTACTGTCATGCAAATCAGATTGCTAGGAGGCAACCCTTCCTCTTTTTGCCCCCATATGCAATCATCTCCATGTTACAAAATTTCCAAATATACACATTTGTTTATGTCTTTCTATCTCCATCACCACTCTAATTCATGCTACCACTATCTTTTGCCTGTAAGTTTTCAAAAGCTTTGAAACTAGCTTAGTTTTCTAAAACAATATCCATTTTTCCATCGTCCTACCTGCTCTTCACATAGCAGCCAGAGTAATGATTTCAAAATTCAGATATAACCTTGTTTCCTGATCCTCTCCACTCACTCCAATATACTCAGAACATTTCATGAATTCCTAAACATTATTGCTTATGTCTCCCTGACACCAATCTTATCTCCCACCAAGCTTCCTGCTAACATATTCTCAGCAATCCAGCCATAATGGCCCTACAGTCCCTCCGAAATGGAAACTTCTCTTCTATAATAGGGTCTCTGTAAATGTTGTCCTTCTTCCTGAATGGATCATCCCCTCTCCTTCCCCAAGTTGATCCTATTTTTCAAATTTAAGCTTAATTAGAATTCCCTTAAGGAAACTTCTCTGACCTCCATCTCCATCTTAATGCCTCCTCAAATGCATTCCCAACATACCTTATATGTCCTTCTCAGTACACTTACCAAAATTATATCTTTATCTTCACCAGTGCAATTATTTAACTGATTGCTGCTTCCTCTTTGAGAACACGGAATGTTTTCTTATAGTATATGAATCTATAGGAACAAGGACAGTGGCTGGAAAACAGTAGTAAGTACTTATTAAATTAATTAATGAGAAAAGAAAGATAGATAAATAAACAGATTTGGATAAGCAGAAAGAATAATGGTTATGAGCCATGTACTCAGGCTATTTAAATAACATATGCTATGATGATGAACTAGCTATTGGAAAAGAACAGTTCTGGGAACAAGATAGACCATAGCAAAAAGAATGTTTTCCTGTGTCCTATAAGAGGCCACATTTCTGTTGCCAAAGGCTCTCTTCTGCCACAGGCCTACCAGATTCCTGCTCATGTTGACTGAAATAGTTTTATTTTATTCTGTTTCCACAGGATAAGGCTACAAAAAGGCAATGAATGCCCCTAGGCTGGGGACTGGGAAGAGAAAGACAGTGACTTTCTATCTATTCTAAAGTTAAGTGAGCTGCCTTTATACTCTGTATAATATTTTGTCATTTTCTGGGTGGTATAGAGTTAGTTGTATTGTTTATTTGAATTAATATTTTTGTTTGGTCAACATAAATTTAAGAGAAAACATTCCTTTAAAAACAAATTCTCAGAATAGGTATGCTAATCAACAAAGGAAAAACAAGTAAATATCTTCAAACTACACTATATGTTGTAGAGAAGATAATGAACAGTGTACTGGACTTTTACATAGGTCATCTCATTTAATCCACACAGATGATGCAAAGACTTCAAGAAATTTCCCAAATGATATAAGCAGTGAAGATAGAATTTTAACCCAGTTCTGAGTGACTCCAAAATTCATGCTTGTTCTAGTGTGCTTCAAGGGGTATAACCAAGAATAAAACCTAAGAACCCCAATTCTTCAGCTCAGTGACAGAATGAACTGCATTTCCTTCCACAGCCTGGTTTCCTTCCAGATTCAGCATGCTTTCCTGGTGCACAAGAGAGAATAATAAATTTGATTCTTTGCTGGTTTCTTATAGATCTTCCAAAAGACCTCAAGCTTTCTGAGAGTCATAAGACTTCCATTCTGTGTTTACTTTAGAAAACTGCTTTTGGACAAAGATTTTAGATGTTAAGTTTTAGCCCAGAATGCATTTTTGCTTCCAAGTTATAAATAGAGTACAACTTTTTAATGAAAATGCTGACAAAACCTAAAGAACAATGGTGTATGACCAAAGCCATTGCAGAAACACACTGATTATTTCAATAGCATCTTTGGATAGAGAGTATTGATAGGATATATTTAATTAAGTCATAGATATTAAATTATGTGAAAAATTGACTTCACCAAAGTATAATATAAAATACTTATCTAGATCAAGTAGAATATTTATTTCCCATAGTTTGAGAGGTTTGGTTATTCCAAAAAAAAAAAAATGGCATTTTCTTTTAATTGTTTAATCTGGGTTGGTTGAAAACTTGCTGAGTCAGCAAGTGAAATATTCAAAGGTTTGTATCTATTTTCTATCATTGCCACAATAGAGGAGTAATGTTATGAAACCAGAACTTTCTTAACTGATTCCAATTATGTTCAGGTTTGGAGTTTTGATTAGAAGTATTCATTGTACCTTTTGTGCTGAAAGCAGAGTGAATCCATTAATCCAGCCTGGGACATGCCGTTTTTATGAGGCAGGTATGGGACTATGTTGCCTCCTGCCAAATAGGACCTCCTTGAGGAAACATAGCAACTAATGTTCCATTTCTGTGTCAAGTGCTGTTAAAAGTTTACTTCAGGCTTAAGTTTGTGCAAACATTTTGTAAAATTCCATAGAGTCCTAGGGTAGCTGGAGGCTGCTTTGAGAGGTTTGGCATTGACTCCTGTTCTTATTGGTAGTATGAAACTGGCTGATGCTATAGATATAGCCTCATGAAATAACTTCTCCTGACTGGACTACCTGAGGCTAAATCTGATGAGGCACGTCTGAGCAGAATATGAGCACAATCCAAAGGGCAGTACAAAAAAATCAGAACAGTAAACAGGTACCTGATACAGGATTCTGATAAGTAGCCTCCATATTTGTTTTCTATACTTCAGAGATATAAATGACATTTTCTTATTTTTAATATTTTCCTTGTTTACAAAGAAGTATAAAAATCACATAGAAGAAATATTTGGAAGGGCTGTAATTATCACTATTAAGAGTACATTCACATTTCTAAGTCATATACACTCCATTTTAGTGCTGAGTTGTAGATATTCCCTAAATATTGTTACACGAAAAAAAGTGCTTAAAGGAGACAGGTGAAATATGAGGTTTTCCACTAGGATTATTCAGTTGGAGAAATTGTCATCCATGTTTCCATATCTGTAGCTAGTCTACAAATAGCCATCAATACCCAAATCAAGAGCAATGATAGTGTCTATGTCAACCATCTAACATCAAACAATAGAGTCAGGGAGTAGTCAGGGAGAAGCACACAGGAGAGTTCAAATCATGTCAATTTCCTGCGTTTTTTAGAAAAGCATTTCATCATAATTGTGCTGGACACCATACTCCTTGCCAAACAAGCACACATTTCCAGAGGCTTTTCACTACTCAGGGCTGAAATTCATTCTCCCCAAATACTTTTCAGGAACTCAATCAGCCAAAAGAAATATAATGGTTCTGAGCTTAGAAAAGACTTGCAAAGACATGGAAATTATAAAGTGAACCACCAGGAAAAAAATCAAACCTTAATACTGCTTTTTTATAAAGCCAACTCCTTTAAACAAACTCCATATTTTCAATCATATGTTATATTATCTGAGGTAAATTGAGAGTAGGTCAAGCTGTCAGAAAGTTCATTGCTCAAGTGCCTTTGAGAGATAATATAGATCTTAAAACAGCAGTCAATTTGAGAATTCTTCATTGCTGATAACAATGTCATGACAGTAACAAATTTAACATGTAGTAAGTACTTAATGTATGCCAGGAACAGAGTTAAGAATGTTGCATATATTGTTTCTCTGAAAATGGTCTTGCAAGATGCTTATTGTTTGTCAGTCTCATTTCACAAATGAGGAAAGTTAGGCAAAAAGAAATTGAAATGCTTGCTCAAGGTCCTAAGAGTAGTAAGAGAAAGGAGATTTGAACAAGTTCCACTTGATTTCAAAACACACTTTCTTGTTTAATGATAGGTAAAAATTAAGTAGGAAGAATGTTAACTATGCTGAAAATCCCATATAAGGCCAGTAGATACTAGTGTACTATTAATAATCAGTGATAGTATACCATCAAAAGCCAATCTCTTTGCACTGTCACCAGGACTCTTGTTTTACCATTACCCTTTCTCCCTCAATACTGCTACTATCTCCAACACAAATTCATCCCAATACCTCAGTTACTCAAGTTGAACAAGAACCCACTACTCTGATGCACATCTATCAGAATTATCAATGAAATAGATACTTACAAACATGAATTTTCCAGAGAATTATATTTTTGAAGCATCACATATGTTTTATTATACATCAAATCTGCATATATGTTTGAAGTATTATATATATTTTATTATGAACATTTCTGCAATTTCTTTTCATAACTGTAATTAGAAAACAGAAAGGTAACTTTTATGTCTTCTACAAAAAAGCCTCAGACATAAATTTAGTTTTGTGTGATCAACTCATGATCATTTATAAATGTCAGTTAATATATGACTGTAGTATTCCAATAAATTCCCCTCCATAAATTAGCTCATAGAGTTTAAGAGCTTGTTCTTACTTTTAATTTTTGTTTCTTTCCTTGCTGTCAGCAGCCACTTCTCATAGATGCTAATGCAACAGGCTTTAGGAATTCCCTGTCTTGAATTTCCATACAATTATCTGGATCTTCTAATGGGTTAGATAAGAAGATTTCCATTGCTTATTAGAGATGTATCTAAATAGGCTTGGAAATAAGGCATTATGGGTCTCTTATATTCAAATATGTGTGCCTATAAAGATTAAGACAGCACAGTAAAGTCATAGAATAAGTACTTAGCAAATAAGTTGTGTGCACTGAAATATTGATTTTGTTCACTTTGAAAACATTTTTAGTTATTTCTAAATGATTCTCAGTTTATGCCACATAATTGAAGTTTAGCATGATAGACACAAAAGATCAATGGAATTCAATTAAAAGTCCATAAATAAACACTTCCATTTCAAACCAGAGTACAAACAAGAGAATTCAATGAAGGAAAAGAAAACATTCATCAACAATCAATATTAGAACACTTAGATATCCATATGCACCATGCACAAAAATTAACTCAAAATGGAAGACATATTTAAATGTAAAAGCTAAAACTAACTCTTATAAGAAAATATAGGAGTTAAATTTATGACCTTGGATTATACAAAATCTTTATCAAAAGGACAAGGGACAAAAAAAGATTAATTAGACAATCAAAATTTAAATGTTTGTGTATTAAATAACATTATCAATAAGCAAAAAACTATCCACACAATGGGGCCTAATATCTGCAAATTCTATATCTGATAAGACAAGTATCCAGAACATAATGAAGAACTTTTATAACTCATTAATAAAAAATAAATAAAAATGGAGAAAGGATTTGAATAAACATTTCTACAAAAAAGATAAACAAATGGCCAATAAGTACATGAAAAGATCTTCAAAAGCACTAGTCATTAAGTAAATTCAAAACAAAACCAAAGTGAGATACTACTTCACACCTATAGTATAGCCAAAATAAAAAAAATATACATAATTACATGTTACTGAGAATATAGAGAAATTGACATCCTTATATGTTGCAAGTGAGAATGTAAAATGATGCAACTACAGGTTGATAATTCCTCAAAAAGTTACCATATGACCCAGCCATTCCACTCTTAGGTATATACCCTAATAGAACTAAAAACATTTCCACAGAAAAACTTCCACAGAAATATCCAAACCAACTTCATTCATATTATACAAGAATGTAACAATCCAAGTGTTCTTAAGTGATTAATGGATAAAGAAAATGTGGTATGTGTGTTTGTTGCATGGATAAATAACATGGATGAAACTTGAAAACATATCCTAAGGAAAGCAGCCAGTCACAAAAGACTAAAAATTTCATAATTCTATTTATAATAAATGTCTAGAGCAGAAAAGTTCATAGAAACAAAGTAGATTGTTGGTTTCTAGATGGTAAGGGGAGGGTGATTGGAGATGTAAAGTTTCTTTTAGGATCATGAAAATGTTATAAAATTGATTGGAGTGATAGTTGTACAACACTGTGAATGGACTAAAAATAATTGAATTGTGCACTTTAAATAGGTGAACTTCAAGGTTTGTGAGTCAATAAAGTGATAAAAACTGATGTACAACAACAATAACAAAGGAAAAACAAACACCAATAGGAGAAATGCCATCAAGATTTATATTCATTTTATATTCTATGAGATCTTTTTTTTAATTTATTTTTTAAAAAATAAATGACAGTGGAATGCATTACAATTCTTATTACACATAAGAGAAAAAAAATAGAAGGCAGGAGGAAGCCTAAAAACCAACCAAATTGGGTAAAGTGATAATTCCAGGGGAAATATTTGAAAGTACAGGAAGAGGAAGCTGAAAACACTAAATAAACTTTGCTGATCTGAGTTTTACTGTGGGTCTGCATTTGGTTTCCTAGTAGTTATCAATCATTCATTCCTCTATTTAGCCTCTCAGATCTGGACAACCTCAGGACTTGCATCCTCCATCTCTTTACTCAGGGCACGCTGGGTATGATCTTATAAGTCTTTGTCCTATTTGCTGTGTAGGTTTTACTGGGAATGCCCTTTCATAATTTCCATGAAAAACTGCCCCCCTACATAAATACTTATATTCCTTGTCTGGACATGTTTCAAAGATCATTGTAACAAAATTATTTTGCAGTTCCCAGCAGACTCTTTCAGAACTAGGGAGGAGCCTAGTATAAGTCTAAAGTACTAAAAAGGCCAGAACAAGAGGAAAGAGAAACTATGCATTGTATCAATCTCATCTTCCTCATATTTTCCATGTTTTAGATGCCCTGACTACAGCAAAATTGAAACCAGAACCATCCTAGAGAGTTCACTTTTCCTAAAGTGCATTGTGCTTTTTCTAAGATAATTGCCCTCTCGATTTTTTTCTAACTGTATAGCTACCACGCATATGGCCAGATAAACTGTAATCCCAGTGCCCACCAATTTAAGGTCCTATATTTTGCAATATTCTATAATTTTCCTAAAACTCTGATCATCTGATAATATCCTGACTTTTCATTCTGTCAGGAGACTACTGGCAGTATGAAAACCTTGCCCTAAAAAAATAAAAACTGT